GGTGCGGTTGGCGCAGGATAGAGCAGGGTTTAGAGCTGTTGTGCATAGGGTCGCTATGAGTCGGAAACGACTCGATGGCACATAACAACAACAACAGTCAAACCAAAAGCCAAACTAACTTGTAGCAACCCCGTGGAATAGGATAGAACTTCTCCACAGGTTTCCAAGCCTGTAATCTTCACAGAAGCATATTGCCATGTTTTCCTGCTGAGCAGCCGCTAGGTCCAAATTATAAGCCCTTTGGTAGTCAGCCTAGCACTTTGTCTACTTAACAGTCATTGAAAAAGATACTAAAACTGTTAAAATAATCTTTTCCTTTTCTTTGTAGGTCGTTTATATGCAATGCAAACTGGAATGAAGATTGATAGTAAAACTCCTGAATGTCGTAAATTTTTATCAAAACTAATGGATCAGTTAGAGGCTGTAAGTTAAAACTAGTCATTTATTTTCTCATGAATGTTTAAAAATGCCATTTTTGCTTCATTTGTCTGAATTTCTAGTTTTGTCGCTTTTGTTGGCAACAATCTGCTTTATCAGTATAGCTGAGTGGACCAGATACACAGCTTTGTTGATTTTTTAAATTTACGTTATATTGCTGGGGGAGTTGTAAGCATGAAGTTAGGTGCTGGAGAGTCAGGTCAGCTCCAATTCTCCAGTCCTGCACAATCCTCACAATCTCTGTTGCACATAAACCCCTAAGCCACTGTGTCAGTCTGTCTTGCTGTAATGGGTCTTCATGTGTTTCTTAGTAAGTTGTTATTTGTTTATGTGTCATCAAGTCACCTGTGAATCATAGCAACCCTGTGTACAGCAGCTCTGAATGCTGCCCTATCCTGAGCCAATCTCATTGTCTCCAACAGACCCAATTCCACTTCTCTATTCAATACATCGCATCTTGGGTCTTCCTCTCCTGCACTGTCCCTCCACCCCTCCAAGCATGGTGTTGTCCTCCAATGGTTCCTCCTGGCCACATTCCCAGAGTATGTAAGACAGAGCTTCAAAATCCTTGCCTCCAGGGAGCAGTTTGGCTTCATCCTCCCCAGGACTGAACTGTTTATTCTCCTGGCAGTCCACAGTATGTTCAACACTTTTCAACAGCACCATAACTCAAAGGCATCGATTCTTCTGTCATCCTTAGTAATTTTCTAGCTCTCTGACACAGAGCAAGTAATTGCGAAGATGATGACCTGAATCCGACGCACCTTAGTCTCTATACTGGCATCTTTACTTCTCAGTACCCTAAAGAGATCCCTAATAGCAGACTTTCCCAGAGCAGTTCATCTTTTGATTTCTTGACTGCTGATTGTGCAACTAAGCAAGCTAACGTTGTTAACAATCTCGGTCTCTTCTCCATGTGTTATATGATGCTGCCAGTTGGCCTAGTGGTGAGAATCTTTGTTTTCTTGATGTTGAGCTTCAATCCATATTGAAGCCTACAGTCCTTGACCGACTGAAGCATACACCTCATGTCCTCCTCATTTTAAGTAAACAAGGTGTGTCGTCTGCAAGTTGTTGATGAGTCTTCCTCCAATCCAGATATCTTCTTTCACATAAAGTCCAGCCTCCCAAATGATCTTTTCTGCATTAGTTACATAGGTTCAAATATTTTTATACCCTTACATCTTATATCCTTGTATTTTATACCCTTATATCTGTTACTCTGTAGGGCTCTTGAGTCATCTTTTTATGAGTGATTAATTCTTTTTACCTTTCCTTAAAAGAGATAATTGATTTGAAAATTCTTAAGTGGATCTTGATCAGATCTTAACAAGAGCGCTAGGAAACTCTGGTAGCCTAGTAACAAGAAGCTGCATTGCAGTCCCCAAGGCACTCAGTTCAAGGCCACTAGCTGCTCTGCAGGGAAAAGATGAGTAGTTTTCTACTGTGCAAGTAACTGCCTCTGAAAACCCATCGGAGGGTCAGCTGTGGATCATCCACACCCACCCTTAACAAAGAAATAGGCAATCCAGCCAAGTGGAATTAAACTAATTTTCTGTCCTTTCTTCCTTGCACTCTCGATCGAAGGTCAAGATACTCTTAGAGCCCAGACATTCTCCGCTTCCTACAGGAGCACAGTGATGCACAGAGAACCACGGCAGCACCCATCCAGGGGTCAGTGGGTTGGATTGGATGTCAGTGTGTCGGGACAGTAGTTCCACCCAGTTCTCAGTGTTCCATCTGGTGCTGCTTGTGCTCGATCTTCCTGTTTCTTTTCACAAAGGTCTAATTCCAAAACCACACTGCTGTTGAGTCCTGCCTGGCTCATAGTGAGGCACTTATAGACACAGACTGACACTTGTCCTGCAGAGCACTTAGTTCAGACCTTTTGGTTAGCCACCAGCCAGTTGGTGCCACTGTGTCACCTCAAGTTAGTCATTCAAGTAGCTCCAACTCATACCATTCCTACATACAACAGTGAAATTCTGCTTGATTCTGCACCAGTCTCCCAGCCTCTGCTGTGCTCAAATGTGTTGTAATCACTCATTTCATTTCCTTAAGGATCTTCCTGGTTTTAGCCAGCACTCTACCAGGGAGTTTGGTGTCATTTTGCAAAGACTGGCCTCTCCTGGTAACATGCCTGAAGTATGTGAAATGAAATCTCACCTTCCTTGTTAGAAGTCTGGTTGTACTTCCTCTAACACATACTTGTCTGTTCTTTGGAAGCCCATGGCATATTATGTGTTCTTCAGGAAGTTAACATCTAACCCTCTTGAGTCACTACTGACTCAGCAGTCATCTGTTAGATATCCGAGACTGTAAATCTTTATGGGAAAAATCACTCCTGAAGTAACTGGTGGATTTAAACCACAGACCTAATTAATAGTGTACTTATTAATTCAGCTCCCCCAATGCTGATATGTTAATCATTCACTCATTGCTGTTGAGTCAGAACTGACTCATGGTCGGCCCTCCAGCAGGTTTTTCTGAGGCTGTAAATCACATGAGATTGATCTTTTTCCCATGCAGCAGCTAATCCATTTGAACCTGAACCTCCTGCAGGTTCAGGTTGGCAGTCCAGTTCCTTTCTCACTAAGCCACTAGAGCTCCCTTTTAGATTAATAACTGGAGCTTGTTTTACTTACTTTTCTAGTTCTGGGACCCACTCAGTGGAATGAGAGATCTTAAGTATTGCAGTTTATTTTGCTTCAGTTATCTTGCTTCACTTCAGCTTGCTATCATTATCTTGTTTCAAGATAATGTTGGTTCAATTATCTTGCTTAAAGATACAACATTTAGACACATTAAATATTAAAGCACTTTTGCTCATCAGCCTAAAGTTTTCATAAATATTGGAAAATAATTTATTCAGGTCAACAGCTATTGAAGTTTCTGTTCAAGTGATTCGGGTGGTGGGGGGAGAGACAACTTATCATTAGTTATTCCTTGATTGGGATGAATAGAACATACTTAGCTCTTCTTCCACACAGCATGCTCTAATAGATAGTATTTTAGGTAATGATTATCTTCCAAGTCCTGTTTTATATACATTTATGTGCGCGTGTGTGTGTGTGTATGAATATAAGAAGAAAGTAAAAAAGGCAGTAAGTTTAAAGGTTAAACCATAGATAGTTGCAAAGAATTTTCTAATTCTAATATTAGGGTAATTGATACTATTTTGGATAATACAGAATTATTCCAAAGTCATTAGGGAGTTGAACTATCAAGCCAGAGCCAGGTGGTTCGAATCAATTGGCTGCTCTGCAGGAGAAAGGTGGACATTCTCCTCACATGCCATGTACCATATATCATCTCTCAACACGTGCTGGAGGGTCACCTGTAAGTCAGTTCCAGCTCTACAGCAATGAGTTTGAGTTGATTCAAGATTATTCCAAAGCACCAGGTATATTATGTGTTTCTGTGGTTTTGTAAACATTGGATTTTGTTTAAATACATTGTTTTTGAGTGAGATAGGTTTCTTTTTACCAGGTTTCAGTGGCACATCTCTTACTGAAATAAATGTCAAATAATTTACTTAAAATGATAATTAGTTCTTAAGCAGATTATCTCTGTGAGTCCGAAACCATAACCTGTGTCTCTAATTTTATTTTAGCTTAAGAAGCAGTTGGGTGATAATGAGGCTATTACTCAAGAAATAGTTGGTTGTGCCCATTTGGAGAATTATGCTTTGAAAATGTTTTTGTATGCAGATAATGAAGATCGTGCTGGACGATTTCACAAGTAAGTAAAAAAAAGAGGGAAATAAACATTATTTTCCAAGTTCATTTACTGTATGACCAAATCACGACCTACTTTTCTATAGAACAACTTTCTGACTTCCTGATTAAAAGCACATGTGTTTTTTTTGTATAGTTAGTTATACCTCAGAATGATTTTGGATTGGATATATGATTCTATATTTTAGAAAAAATATAAAAATTAAGATAGCTTACAGACTTACTTTCTTTGCAAATGATAACCATTTTTTATATTAATAAACTTTGAGTTAGATTTTGCCAAAGTCACAGTCTAATTAAGTCATTGATCCAGACCTTAGAAGTACTTCTTCTTACCAAGTAATTCAAATGGTTTTTCATTATTATTTAAATGCAAGGTAATGAATTATAGTTTGAGAAGGATACTGTAATTATGAGATCTCATAGTTACGTTCTCTAAAATCAGAAGCATGTGATAAATATCATTGTTAGGTAGAGTTTTTGTTGTTGTTAACTATTGTGTGCTGTAGAGTCGGAACCACCTCATTGCTGAACCTCCAGTGGAATTTCAGAGGCAGTAATTCGCATGGGAGGAGATTGCCCATCCTCCCACGGAACAGCTGGTGGGTTCAAACCCTGTGCAAACGCAGTGGGATTGCAGCACGTTCTTGCCAGTAGGCCACCAGAGCTCCCCTAGGTGGCATTGTTAGGTGCCAAATTGGCTCTGCCTCATTGTGACCCTGAATGTCACATTACAAACCTTTGCGAAATCCTTCGCAGTCCTCGCAGACAGCCTTCACCAGCCTCACAGACCCTGCTCTGCTTAACCCTAATATTGTAGTCCTTCCATGTCATTGAGTTCTTTCTCTCCTTCACTTACCCTCTGTTTTTCCAAGTATTAGCCCTGGGGGCCTGGTGCACAATGTACTGTGCTGCCAGCTGAAGTCTCGGCTCTTTGGCTCCACCAGCTGCTCCAAGACAGAAAGATGGGCATTCTCCTCCTGTAAAGATGCACAACCTCAGAAACTTGATGAAAGGTCCTTGGAAGTTGGAACCTATTTAACATCAGTGAATGTAATTTGCATAAGACACTGTGGTGTTACTTTCTCCTCAGAACAATTTAGAAAAGACATTTGTTTCATTGATTCATTGTCTTGAATCTAATTAAAATACTGAATATTGTAATTGAATATTTTTTAAAATTACTTTTAGAATGATCTTATAAGCATGCATGTTAGTTTTTCAGTTAAAACAGATCAACTCTCTTTTCTCTTCCAGAAACATGATCAAGTCCTTCTATACCGCAAGTCTTTTAATAGATGTCATAACAGTATTTGGAGAACTCACTGATGAAGTGAGTGTACATTCTTTATTGTCTAATTAGCTTAAGATAAGTAATGGTGCTGCTTATACGTTCTATTATTATTTCATTAAAGCAGTATATTCTTTATAAGACAAAACATGTAATTTAAAATATTCTGCCAGCCACTTTTTTTAAAATCAACAATAATAATTGATATATTTATAAAGTTTTGAATACATGGTTTTTCACAAAAGATTCTTCCCATATTCTTCATGCATCCCCCACCCATAGAATTGTGCAACCTTTTAATTAACACCCTATCCCTCCTATCCATACCCCTCTAACCATTCCCCCCTTGCAGTCCTCAAACTTATTCTACAATAATGGTTTTATACCATTTATAGTATTTGTCTTTGGGAACTGAGTTCACTCAGCATAATATTTTCCAGTCCCTCCCCTGTTAGGTAGTAATTTACACAACATTATTCCTGCATACTGCATAGTATTCCATTATATAAATGAACTACAACTTCTCAATCAATTTGTTTGTGGTTGGACATCTGGGCCCATGTTCTTGCAATGATGAGTAATGCTGCTATGAACATTGGTGTATTAATTTCCATTTGAGCCTCAGTTCTCATTTTCTTTCTTTTTTTTTTTTTTTTGAGTTTGCCTTCATTTTTATTACTAATTAGATTAAACATTGACTACCAACCCTTAATTCAGCAACTTCCCATAGCTTGGCTTCTAATTTGTTTTTTTTTT